AGCCCCACTGGTGCGTTAAGCAGTTTCAGTGGCAAACGGTTCCGTATGGCATAGCAGAGGACTAAAAGGTAAGCATTATGTGAATGCTTGACTAAAGAGACACGTCTTTAGTCTAGTTTTAAACTGTGTCAGCGAGTCAGAGCATCGGACCGTATCGGGAAGGCTATTCCAGAGTTTTGGAGCTAAATGCGAGAATGCCCTCCCTCCTTTCGTGGACTTCGATATCCTAGGAATGACCAGAAGCCTTGAATTTAGTGATCTTAGAGAACGCGGTGGATTGTAGGGCGAAAGAAGGTCCGTTAAGTACATAGGAGCTAAACCATTAAGGGCTTTATAGGTCAGTAGTAGTACTTTGTAATTGATACGGAACTTAATAGGTAACCAGTGCAGAGATGATAAAATCGGTGTTATATGATCATATTTTCTTGATCTAGTAAGAACTCTAGCGGCTGCATTTTGCACTAACTGTAGCTTGTTTATTGAGGATGCAGGACAACCAGCTAATAAAGCATAACAGTAATCTAGTCTTGAGGTCATGAATGCATGAACTAACTTTTCTGCATCAGAAACAGATAGCATGTTACGTAATTTAGCAATGTTTCTAAGGTGGAAAAAGGCTGTTCTTGTAACAGATGAAATATGATTTTCGAAAGACAAGTTGCGGTCTAGTATAACACCCAGGTCTTTTACTGTAGTGGAAAAAGTAACAGGGCATCCTTCTATATTAAAGTCGTATTGTAAGAGGTTTTGTGTGTAGTTTTTTGGACCAATAAGTAATACCTCCGTTTTATCTGAATTTAATAGCAGGAAATTACGCGTCATCCAGCATTTTATATCTTTGAGACATTCTGTCAATTTAGATGAGGTAATGTTTTCATCTGGTCGTGATGAAATATATAATTGAGTGTCGTCAGCATAACAGTGGAAATTAATTCCATGTTTTCTTATAATATTACCAAGTGGCAGCATATATATTGAGAATAGCAGAGGGCCTAGCACCGATCCTTGCGGTACTCCGTAGTCTACTGACGTTAACTTTGATTTTCCCCCGTGTAAAGAGACAAAATGATAACGGTCAGATAAGTACGGTCTAAACCAGCTTAATGCCTGTCCCTGAACACCAGTGTAGTTTTGTAGTCGATCCAAGAGTATTTTATGATCTATAGTGTCGAACGCGGCGCTAAGATCAAGTAGGACTAGTATTGAGATACAGCCTTGGTCAGAAGCTAAGAGTAGATCATTTGTAATTTTAACTAGCGCAGTTTCTGTACTATGATGCGGTCTGAATCCTGACTGGAATTTTTCATAGATATCATTTTCTTGCAAAAAAGAGCACAGTTGAGCGGATACAACTTTTTCTAGTATTTTGGACATAAATGGAAGATTTGAAATGGGTCTGTAATTTGCTAAGTTATTTGGATCTAGTTGCGGTTTCTTAATGAGAGGTTTTATTACTGCCAACTTGAATATTCTTGGAACATGACCTAAGAATAAAGACGAGTTAATAATATTAAGAAGAGGCTCTTCCACTACAGGTAACACTTCTTTCAGTAGTTTAGTGGGTATTGGATCTAATGAGCATGTTGTTGGTTTAGATGCAATAATAAGTTTATTTAGCTCTTCCTGTCCTATCGTTGCAAAGCGGTGTAGTTGTTCTTGAGGGACGATAATTGAGGCTGAATCATAAGAGACCATAGAGGATTGTACATTTATAATTGTGTTTCGAATGCTTTCTATTTTCTCATTGAAATAATTCATAAAATCATTACTACTAAACTGTAACGGTATATTTTGCTCTGGTGATGTCTGTTTATTTGTTAGTCTAGCCACGGTGTTAAATAAGAACCTTGGATTATTTTGGTTATTTTCTATTAGTTTGCGGAGGTGCTCAGCCCTGGCTGTTTTTAGAGCCTTTTTATAACGTGACACACTGTCTTTCCACGCGATTCTAAAGACCTCTAAATTAGTTTGTTTCCATTTACGCTCTAGGTTACGAGTTTCTCTCTTGATATCATGCGTAACACTGTTGTACCATGGTGCTTTAGTTTTCTCTTTAACCTTTTTTAATCTAATTGGTGCAACAATATCTAATGTACTAGTGAAAATGGTGCTCAAACTGCTAGTCATTTCCTCTAGTTCATCTGTTTGTTTGGGTTCACTGAGCAGCTGAGATAGATCAGGTAAGCTATTTGAGAATCTATCTATAGTGGTTGGAAGGATTGTTCTGCCTGGTCTATAACGTGGCGCAACATGACATATTTCAGCAGTACGTATTATGCACGTTACCATGTAATGATCAGTGACATCATCACTTTGCGGTATAATATCTATATCAGTTGGATTGGTTCCATATGATATAATTAAATCTAGTGTATGATTTAGACGATGAGTGGGACCACGGACGTTTTGCTTGACCCCAAAGGAGTTTAATAAATCTGTAAACGCAGCCCCTAAGGCATCATTTTTGTTGTCTACGTGTATGTTAAAATCTCCAACAATTATTGCTTTATCGACATTGACCAATAGATCCGAGAGAAAGTCTGCAAACTCTTTTAGAAATTCAGCATATGGCCCTGGAGGTCTATATACAGTAGCCAAGGCTAGAGATAATATGGATTTCTTTCTTACATCTAAGAGCGTAACATTTAGCATAAGTACTTCAAACGAATTAAATCTGTGACCTGTTTTCTGAGAAATATTAAGAATATCTTTATAGATTGTTGCAACACCGCCGCCACGACCAGTCAGACGGGGCTCATGCTTATAACAGTATCTTGGCGGAGTAGACTCATTTAGACCGAAATACTCATTTGGTTTAAGCCAGGTTTCAGTAAGGCAAAGTATATCGAAATTATTATCTGTGACCATTTCATTTACAATAACCGCTTTAGGTGTGAGCGATCTAATGTTTAGAAGACCTAGCTTTAGAAATTCTTTTTGTTCACTGATATTTAGATTTTCTGGTTTAATTACAATAAGATTTTTGCTAGATCCTGCACTAGATTTATTGTTTGGCTTCACTAGACGAGGAATAGACACAGTTTCTATATAATGTTCTTCACTACGTATATCAATTAAGTTTGGACAGCAAAGACTGTGATTTGGATTTTGACTTATTAGTCATCTGGTGCGTAACGTCTTGGAGATATTATCCGACAGAACAGCCGCTCCGGCTCTGCTGGGGTGCAGGCCATCAGCACGGTACAGCCTGGGTCGCTCCCAAAACAGATTCCAATTATTTACAAAGAGCAGTTTCTGTTCATTACACAGTGACATTAACCATTCATTTAGTGCAAATAGTCTACTGAACCTTTCTTGTCCTAGTCGGTACGTGGGAAGCGGTCCAGACACGATGATCGTTGCCTCAGGCGCTGTGTTGCGTACGGTCTCGATCAGGCTCATGTAGTCCTTCTTCAGAACCTCCGTCTGCCGCAGCCATTGGTATTTAAACATTGGACCCCCAAGGATCAGTTATGGGTCCTATTTTATTTTCTATTTATATAAATACTTTAGGTGTGGATCTGAATCAAACAAAGGCAAATTTTTACGCAGATGATACAATTTTGTATACCTCTGCTACGTCATTGAAGGAAGCAATTCATCATTTACAGTCTGCCTTTAGTCAGGTACAAAAATCTTTGGTAGGATTAAAGTTGGTATTAAATGCTAAAAAAAACTAAATTAATGGTTTTTACACGTATGGATTTCTCTATTTCAACACAAAGTGGTACTCCAATAGAGAGAGTAAATACTTACAAATACCTTTTGGTTGGATGATAAATTGTCTTTTGGGGTCCATAATGAGAGCCTTTTAAAAAAAACTCAGACCCAAGTTAGGTTTTTATTTTAGATTAAAAAAGTGCTTTCCTTATTCAGTAAGGAAAAGGTTGGTGCAGAGCACATTTTTATCAGGTTTGGATTATGGTGACCTAATTTATATGCACTCTACTTAATTTTTATTTATTTTTTTAAACTAGATGTATACCACTCAGGCTTACGTTTCATTAGAGGTGCAGCAGCTAGGACTCACCACTGCACTCTGTATGAAACTGTACAATGGTCCTCCCTCTCCCTCTCCCTCAGAAGAAAATTACATTTAAGGGTTTTTATTGCTAAAGCACTAATGGGTAAATTACCCCTCTACATTTCAAATTTGCTTACTTAACAAAATAGTGTTTACATGACAAGGTTGTCAAAAAAATACTATTAATTATTCAATCAACAAGAACTAAATTTGGTATAAAAATTATTATTATTTTTTTTTTTTTAAAGCTTTCTCATCATATGCCCCAAATGTCTGGAGTGAACTCCGAAACACCTTAAATCTAGAATCACTTCCACCTATTAATACTTTTAAAAACATTTTAAAGTCAACTCTGACTGAACAATGTAATTGCTTTTAACTAGGTGCCCTTTAAATTGTATATCTGTATTTGCTTATGTTAAGTAGGTATAATGTCTTGTTTGTGTATGTATAGAGATCTGTGGTGTAATATGTAATCTTTGTCCTGTTTTTATTTTTTGAAACTTTTTGGCCGCCTGTCTTGGCCAGGACTCCCTGGGAGAAGAGTTACTGTAACTCAATTACTCTAAATAACTTTAATAAAAAGTTATTTTATACACTTTAAATAAAAATAAATAAATAAATAAATAAAATGGGTTTCTCAATAACTTTCCATCCTCCTCCCCAAATGGTCACAAATCCCTAAAGCCTGTAAAATAAATTATATATGATTTTCTTTCTTCTGCAGTACAATACCTTTTACTTTCTTCAAGAACATTTCTATGTTCTACTGAGGAAAAAAGTCTTGGCAGGTTTTGAATGGCATGAGGGCGAGTGAATGATCTTTACGTGAACTATGAAGGCCTGCACAGTGCTTGTAATTTCCTAATCAAACTTTAATTTATTGTTAAGTGGCAAGTAAATTGTGTAATCTTTTCTGCTTCTCTGCTTTCATTTTCCCATAAAGACCCTCCCCTTCTGGGAAGCTATAAAATGAGCACCGAAATAGGCATGATGTTTCATTCTCCTCCTGATCAAAGATGGATCTGCAAATCTCAGTTTTTCTTCTGTTCATTCTTTTCACTGCAGGTACAAAGACAAATAGTGTTTGTGATATTTATATATGTTTTTTTTTTTTCATTGGATCTCTCTCTCACTGTTTCTCTGTTTTATTACTAAAGGACACTCTCTCAGCTGTTATGAATGCATGGGTCTGACGGGTTCTTGTGCGGATCAGAAGTTAAAAACATGTCCCGCTGGATCTTCTCAGTGCTTGAGTTTAACAACGGTAACACAAGGTAGGAAGACCAGCATGGCAGATCGAGTAAATGTAACTTCTCTTACATTTGTTACTCTAACTGTGTCTCGTTCCCTTTCAAGGGAACTTCGAGCTGCGTTTTGAGACGCGGTGGGAACGCTCTGCGTGATTACGTCGTGAAGCACATGTAAAATCAGTCCAATGGAAGCCCTAAACGTCATGGGTGACGTCATAGACCAGGAAACTATAAACCACCCCTGAAATCAGATCGCGCCAGCTTCTGTAGGCCTACCTTCAGCAAGCGCTCTCTGTGAAATCTGTCCTTGTCTATTTATTGTTGTTTGTCAAAGCCCAATATATATCACTATCTTAATGGCGAGCAAGCAAGATTATAGACGTTGAGTTGTTCCCTGCCCTCATTACATCACGGGTGGGGACACACATCAGCTATTTGTTGCTATTTGGGAGTGGAGCATGCCAACAGTCAGTTCTCGAGGGAGCTGACAGGGAGCATTGCGAGAAGCTGTCCGCGAGGACGCTCCGCTCCCGCCGGGCGTTCTTCGAGGAGGACGGTTCGGTTCGCGTTCCCCGCGCGGGTCTCTCTGTTGCCGAGGCACGGAGACGACTCGCATTTCGGGGTTCGCAAACGGATCTCTGACAGCGGAGGTTGGGACGGGCTCCGCCCTATCTCAGCTTTCACATGCCAGATCTAGTATGCTGCGATTTCCAGTTCCGAGGATTTGGTATCTTTAGTGTTTTGTTTAAAAAGAAAGAGAACAAAACAAATAAAAATATTAAGAAAAAAGGCAGATGTTTGAGTTTTTAATAAATAAATAAGTCAGCTCATAACTCTGCTAAATAAAGAGGAGCTTTTTTTTAACTTTTTTTTAAAGAGGTTTTATCTGTGCTGTTGCTAGTGATGGCCAAATGAGGCTTCCTGAACCACTGAGGCTTTCCAGCCCATTGGTTCACCAAAAGGTTCGTTTACCTGAAGCCTCATGAAACAGTGTGCTCCCTAGTGACACCTGCTGTGCAAAGCAATGTATCGCACACAAATCTATTCATCCTGAGCAACCAAATTGTCATGGTGTGGGCACACCCTTTTTCTATTGCCTGTGTATTAAATAAAGTTTTTTACTCTGCTTGTGTTTACCTATGCACACACAACTCACACACACATAACTTTGTATTCAGTAGTTCTTTGGGTTAGTGATGACAGTGAATGCCCCAAATGAGTGTCAAGAAATCACTGAGTGCAGTGCTGACTGAGTGCAATAGTGTAGTGATTATGGAACTGGGAGTACAATTATGTAGTGCTTATGGAACTGGGAGTGGAACAGCAAACTGCAACAGGGATGGGAACATTTTTACTGATTTTTATTTAAAAACAAAAGTTTTTTTACAGTATTTGGATTGAGGCGGTTTCTCTTTTTGGAAACCACCTCTCCAGCCTTAGAAAACACCCTTTCACAGGGCACCGATGATGCCGGACAACATAAGAACGTAAGTGCCAGCTTATATAAATTGGGATGTTGGAGCTTCTGTTTGTTCCAATAACCCAGCGGATCCTCAGTCCTTGCCAGATTTGTCTCTGACAAATAACGGTCCACCTCAATAGTAGCATCTGCGGTCACACTGGAGCTCCGTCTGCTGTTATCCACTGTGCTGTCCAGTAGATGCCAAAGGTCACCTATAATTATACAAGGGAAAACACTCACTTCTCAATGGTTCACATTACATGACATTACAAATGTGAAAATTCACATAAGACATAGACTACTTACCACAGGTTGTAGATGGCCCAGCTTGTGAGGCAGGTACTTGAGCTGGGGGTGTTGTTTCAGAATTTCTGATAACATTGGCACATTCTGACTTTAGTCTTGTAATGGCTTCTTGGAGCTTCCCTGGACTTAGGAACCCTAGTTTTTTGAACCTAGGGTCCAGCAATGTAGGCATCGTCATCACACTAATGGATTCCATTTGTAACGCATGCTCTCTGACGCGACGGACAAGGTTGTCAGCCAGCTGCCTTGCCATATTTGATGTTAAGCCCTCGGATTTTCTTACTATTGTGTGGTTCAGCATCTTCATTAGGGGAATAACCTTTGAAGCAGACACTCTTTTTTCTGCAGAAAGCTCTACTGTGGCCTGGTGGAATGGGGCCAGTAGGTCGAGAGCATCCTTCATTGTTTCATACTCCAATGAAGTAGGAGGGCTTACATCTGTCCTCAAAGAGGCTAGAGCTGCCCCCACTGGCTCTCTCAGGTCATAGAGCCTTTCCAGCATGCTGTAAGTGCTGTTCCATCTAGTGTCCACCTCAATAATCATTTTCAGAGCAGGCCTCCCCATCTGCACCTGCACTTGGGCCAGTCTTTCTTTTCCTGTTGTGCTGGTCCTGAAGTAGGTTACAAGCTTCCTACATTTGGTGCGAAGCTCATTTAAGCCTGGCACATCATCGAAAGACTTCTTGACAATTAAATTCAATGCATGTGCAATGCATATCGCATGCCTAATATTCAATGCCCTCACACAGGCAATCATATTGGCAGCAGCATCCGTGACAAGGCACCTCACCTTATCCTTTATGCCCCACTCCTCCATGGCCATGGTATGGGCAATAGCCAAGTTGTCTGCCGTATGGGTGTTTGGGAAATGTTGCACCCCAAGCAAGATTGTCCCAAGCTGGTCATTGGCATCAATAAAATGACAAGTCACAGCCAGGTAAGCCTCCATGTTGATGGACGTCCACATGTCGGACGTAAGGCTAACAGCAACAACATTGTCCAATTTTTCTTTGGCCTTCTCCTTAGCCTCCTCATACCGGGTGTCAACCATGGACTTCAAAGCCTGAGAATGAAAATATTAATTGTTACTATTCATTCTGACTTTATAACAATAAACTACTTTAGTCTATTCACATACATACCTTTCTTGTTGGGAGAACATAGGATGGATCCAGCACATGCACAAGCTCCCTAAACCCCACGTCATCCACAACAGAAAAGGGTTGGGAGTCTTTGATGACCATGTTGACCAAAGCCTCATCCACCATTTTCTTTCTGTAATCTATAACACAGTACAATGCTGGTGTATTGTAGGAGCCTAACACATTATTTACATAATAAAAAAATTAAGATTAAATATTACTTTGACTAGTGGCTGGTCTGTTTGCAGCAGGTTGTGCATCCTCATGCATTGCACGATAATGCCTAAGCATTGAAGAGGTGTTGTTGCTGTAAGTCAGCTCTTTATGGCACAGCAAACATTTCACCTTCAACATGCAGATAATACACATTGTGATTATACAGCGATATGGTGAGGATTATGTGATGTTATGATAATAAATTATATAAATGTATACAAACCTTGTTATGAGCAATCAATTCAAAATGCTCCCAGACAGGAGAAGTTCTCCTCTTTCTTGCTGGCTCCATTGTAAGGGCTCTAGGTTTGCCTTTAACGTTTGCACTCTAAGGCTTTCCCTACAGTCTAGTCTTAGAATAATAATAATAGCAATAATATATATATATATATATATATATATATATATATATATATATATATATATATATTATATATATATATATTATATATATATATATATATATATATACAATAATAACACTACTACCAATATATGTATATATATATAGCAACTAGAACTAGATATAGGCTAATTTACTCTAATAATCTACTGAACTATGTATACTTTACTCTAATAATCTAATAATCTACTAAACTAAGTATAATGTAATATAATATATAATACAGGCTATGATATATAATGATAACTATGCTACTACAAACTCGCTACAACTCGCTACTCACTACTTCGTACAACCAACACTTCAACACCAATGCAAACGCCTACTGCAAAACCCACGAGAGGCGCGAGGTTTCGAACCACTTTTATCCAGAAGCGATACTCAGAATGAAGCAATGACGTATTCAACACAATCCGAGGCCTCGTTTGTTATCGTCACGTGATTTTCACGGAAACGACACAAGCCTCGAATCGGGGCTTCATCTGGAACGCCCCTTTTTGCTCGACACAAGCTCCGGAGCCTCGCTTCAGATGTCACATCACTAGCTGTTGCCAGTTAAATATTTACTAGCCAGCTAAACATTATGAGATTGAAAATAAAGAAGAGTTTTTTTAGATGAAATGTATCTTAAAACAGAAAAACTCTGTATCTCAGCCTCCTCGTCGGGGACTGCGTTTTTTTCCTTATCTCTACACTGAGGTGTCGAGATCGTGGAATAAACCGGTTTGTATTTTGTGTTTAATCCCCAGATGTCTAACTATAGTAATGTTTGGGTATTAAGTATCATAGTAGGCTATGACAGTGCCTCGGGTTAAAGAGCTTTCTCTCTCCCGAGTCGGTGTCATCGTTATTAACCCCGACGTTACCCACCAGCCATCATAATGAATACATTTTTATTAGGCAGCCCTGGTGGGTAAAGTATATAAGGACATGGATGAATGTGAGGGGCGACTCTCTGAGGAGGGTCGCAGCGCTGCCAGTTCGGTTGTTTCCCGCTGGTGACCACAAAATGATATATATGTATATATAGCCTATATATGTTTTTTCTGATATAAAGATAAAGGGAAAATAAAGATATGTCTGTTCTTCTGGACGCTCCGCTTTCAAGAAAACTAAGAAATAAGCCATTCAGCGGCGTTCCAGAGGTTTCTTCCTCACCAATCTAATGTTCCTGAGACTGCTGGGCGGGAGCAGTCCCGGCCTATTAAGCTCCTCGCAGCACAAAGTGCAAAACAGAGCGTCGCCATTCGGGCTCCTCCGCAATTGAGGGGTACCTGGGTGGCGGTCGCAGTCTAGCCAGTTAGAGACATGCAAGATCTGAGGACTGTTTTATCTCTAAAATAGCTTGGACAAAGAAGAAGCCCTGACGCCAAGGCGATCAGGCTTCTAAGGGTGGTCCCCTCTGGGGTAGGGACGGTTTTGAGAAATCGTTTCTCCTCAGCGCCCTTTGGGCTGCGACTCTCTGAGGGTAGCAACACTGCCAGTTCGGTTTCCCTGCCGGTTCGCCGTTTCAGGGCACCAAGGTGTCAGTGTCCCCAAACGAGTCTTTAAAAAAAGAAGAGCAGTCAGTTCGGTTTCCCTGCCGGTTCGCCGTTTCAGGGCGCCGAAGTGCCTGCTTTTTCCAACGATCCTCCGAGGAGGGTCGTAGGAACTAAGCTAGTTAGAGGTAGGCAAGATCTGAGGACTGTCATCATCTCTAATAAAGCTTAGACAAGAAGTCCTGTCGCAAAAAAACGAGGCTATCAGGCTTCTGAGGGCTCCTCCGGGGCAGGGACGGTTTTGAGAAATCGTTTCTCCTCGGCGACCTCTGGGGTGCGACTCTCTGAGGAGGGTCACAACGCTGCCAGTTCGGTTGTTCCCTGCCGGTTCGCCGTTCAGGGCACCGAGGTGTCAGCGTCCCCATACGATCCTCCGAGAAGGGTCGTAGAGCGGTCAGTTCGGTTGTTCCCTGCCGGTTCGCCGCTTCAGGGCGCCGTAGTGACTGTTCAACCAAATCCAGAGGCCAGTCTTGAGAGACTAGAGAGATTGAGAGATTCTCCCCTAGTAGAATTTCTGGCAGCGTGGAAACTACTGCCACCTATTTCTCAGTGGGTCCTGCACATTATAGAAAAGGGTTTTAGAATTCAGTTTGGTTCTCGTCCACCCAGATTTCTAGGGGTCCTCCTCTCATTGGTGGACCCCGAGCAGGCTTTGGTTATGGAGCAGGAAGTACTGACACTTCTGCAAAAGGAGCTGTAGAAGGGGTTCCTCCTCCCAGCAGACAGCCATTACTTCATTGTTTCCGAAAGAGGATGAGGGAGACTCCTGAGGTTTGCTTTCGGGGGCGAAGCATACCATTATCGGGTTCTCCCATTCGGCCTAGGTTCATTACCCCACACCTTTACAGTATGCGTGGATGCAGCTCTGGCTCCTCTGAGACTCCAGGGCATTCGCGTATTATACTACATCAATGATTGGTTGATCCTAGCTCAATCTGAGTTTATGGCAGTTCGGCATCGAGATGTCGTTCTGTCTCATTTAAGGATGTTAGGGTTGCCTCTCAACGCCAAGAAGAGTGTGCTCTGAGGACCACTTTTCTAGGTGTAGCGATTCTCACAGCCGTAATGGGGTATATCTAGGCCAGTCACTCACGGTGAAACAGTTTCAGACTGGTGGGTCTCATGGCAGCTGCGTCCAACGTAATTACTTTTGGCCTTCTGTTCATGAGACCCCTGCAGTGGTGGCTCGGGACCAAGGGGTTTTCTCCGAGGGGAAATACGTTTTCGCATGATCAAGGTCACGCGGCTATGCCTTCGTGCCTCGGTCATGTGGAAGAACCTTGGTTCCTCGCCCAGGCCCAGTGTTGGGGGCTTCTTGTCGACGCATATTGCTATCGACGGATGCTTCCCTCACAAGTGGGGGCGATCATGAGTGGTTGCTCAGCGAATGGCGGACAACACACTGATGGTCTCGTATGTCAGAGCAGATATCCTGTTGAGGCAGGGGCTGAGGCCCAGGGGATTGGAGACTTCACCCCGAGGTGGTGGAGCTTCTTAGGGAGAACTTTGGTCAAACTAAAGTCAAGTCGACCTTTCACATCGTTTGTACAACGCATTGCTCTATATGGTTCCCCCTCACGCAGCCAGCTCTTCTCGGACTGGATGCGATAGTGCAGGTGTGGCCGAGGCTGCACCTGTACGCATTTCCCCCGATATCTATGCTCCCAGGGGTTCTGGAGAGGGTTCGCCGGGAAGGGGCTCATCTGCTACTAGTAGCCCCATACTGGCCGACTCGAGTTTGGTTCTCGGACTTTGTCTCTTCGGACAGCCTTCACCTATGGGTGTTCGGGCCCATTCTACTAGGAGTATGGCGGCCTCTACGGCCTTAACCCTTTAAGACCGACGGGAGCGCCGGCGCTCCCGTTTGCGTGTGTCTGTTTAAAAGCCTATAGAAACTGAAACCAAATTGCTAGCTCAATCATTCTTTTTGCATATAAAACCAGAGATGTAACATGTTCAGATCAAGCCTCCAACATGCCCATGTTGCGTTGTTTTCACCCTCTAATCAGTCTGTACAAACTGCGTAATATGCGTTTACAAAAAAACAACACAAAAATGCATTGCACGTCTTTGCACACATGTTCTGTAGATCTGCGATTGATAGTTACGTCTTCCGATGGCTCATTGACGTATCACGTTCTGTGCACTATGACCCCCGGGTGTGTCGCATGTTGTGACGTCACAAGCTGCGTCATTTGACCATGCGTTTGACTCGCGTGATTTTTTTTTCCCCCCAAACCACTTCAGCGGAAATCCCGCCCTGCAGTCGATTCTAAAGTTTTCATTGCTCATGTCAATCACTGTACAGATTGCCTACACCAAACACTGATCCCTAAACCTACCCGTCACTGTAACCTAAACCAATGAAATCGGCTGCAGGGCGGGATTTCCGCTAAAGTGGTTTGGGGGGAAAAAAAAATCACACGTTTGACTCCCGTTTGACTCCCATTTGCTATATGTTCCTTCTTATCGTTATTGTCTTTTTACCATTGCTTTATTTTTTCATGTCTTTCTCCTTTAGACACTCACAAATACAAGCACATTCACACACACACACACACACACACACACACACACGCGTGCGCGCACGCACGCAACGTTATGTCTAAACGAAAGTACACGGACGCGGAGGTTTTGGAAATACATATTGCGTCCGATGACGATGAACTATACGTCTGCTCATCTATTTATTTTATATTTTAACCAATTCAATGTTCAATCAATATTCAAAAGCAAAATGTTATCTGTTTGACCACAAATGTAATTGAATATTTTACATGGCATTTCCCCTCCCTTTTTTTGAATGAGTGTAAAAATGAGTGTATCTTCAAAACTAATTTATGTAAACAGTTCAAATCAATTCTGTGTAGTTTTAAATTGTTTTATGCACGTTTTTCACATTGACAAGTTTGAGGTTGACATTTATCCATTTTTTGTATTGAAAAAAATATGTAAAAAATAAATAATTAAAATTGTTTTTCTTTTTGTTTATTGCACTTTTGAGATATTTATCTAGTTACTATTGATTTTTTACAAACATAGCCTTCAAATTGGGAGAGTAAGGATTATTTTGATGTATGGCATATGAAAATGCTCAAAAGAATGACAGCACAGCATGTAAAAATACAAAGATATACTCTGGTGGAATTGTTCTATGGCAGGTCATAAAGGGTTAATTTCGGGTGTTTCCCTTCTTGACATTTGTAATGCGGCAGGATGGTCCTCTCCGCATACATTTGTTAGGTTTTATGACCTTGACCTCTCCACTCCTGGGGCTAGATTGCTTGCTTCTTAGTGTGCGCCAAGGACTTCACACAGAACGGGCATTTGTCACTATGGCGTAATGGGTATGGGGTTCCCACCGCGTCTCAAAACGCAGCTCGAAGTTCCCTTGAATGTGTCTGTTTAAAAGCCTATAGAAACTGAAACCAAATTTCTTTTCCCTTCCCGGCGAACCCTCTCCAGAACCCCTGGGAAAGGGAACGTCTCAGGTTACGTATGTAACCCTGGTTCCCTGAGAGGGAACGAGACGCTGCGTTTGCCTGCCATACTTCCTGCATGCCCTGATCGACTTGCTTCAGGTTTTTTCAGAAGCTGGCGCGGTCTGATTTCAGGGGTGCTTTATAGTTTCCTTGGTCTATGACGTCCCCATGACGTTTCGGGCTTCCATTGGACTGATTTTACATGTGCTTCACGACGTAATCACGCAGAGCGTTCCCACCGCGTCTCAAAACGCAGTGTCTCGTTCCCTCTCAGGGAACCAGGGTTACATACGTAACCTGAGACGTTTTCTTGGCAGAATTGACTAAATTAATCACAGATTATTCTATTTATTTCTGCTGTTTAATTTGTTTTCTGTTCGATTGTTTTGCAAACAATGGCAATTGTATTTAAAAAAAACTTGTTTACATATTTTTTAATTATTCCATCAAAATAACATGTACTAGTCTTTTCTGTATCATTCATATTTTAGGTCCAATTAGTGTAAAAGTGAAGGTTAAAGATTGTGCTGTTGACTGTCAAAGTGGGTCCATGAACTTCGGCGTTTCAAAGGTCTCTACTTCCTGCTGTAACACAGACCAGTGTAACGTCCAAGATGCTCCAGGTATTGTGCTTTAATGATCTTGTGCAAATGACTTTAAAGTCAACATTCATTTTACTTCCAAATGACATTCAATCAGGAAATAAAAAGCAGGGTGTGGCTTGTCTGTTGAGAACTGATTAAATGGCGTAGCTGTTGTTTTTTATTAGATTATATTTTATATCTAATACATGTTTTCCTCCTGTAGATCCCCCTAACACCCCTAATGGAAGGATATGTTACCAGTGTGATGGACAGAACTGCTCAAACACAGTGAGCTGTTCAGGGACTGAAGATCGGTGCATTAAAACAACAGGTGAGACTCTGGAAAAGGACAAAGATTTTTGTTATTTTTCTTTCTCCACCATCAATTTAAATATATGATCACAGCACCCGCCAGCTTAGACTACCGGTAACCTTTGTTCTCTTTCTCTTCATCAGGGACTTTTGGAGGCAAGTCATTGGTTGCAAAAGGCTGTGTGTCTAAATCTATTTGTGACGCCACATCATTTATTCCTAATGTTAAGGGCGTCTCGTGTTGTGAGGGGAACCTGTGTAACGGGGCTCAGAGTGTCACCCAGAGCGTCCTGTTCCTCTGCTGTTCTCTGCTCTCCTACTTCCTGATGCACTGAATACAGCAGATCTTCACATTCTACAATCAGACACACTGCACTGAGTATATAGCTTGTGTTTTTTTGGTACTAAATTGTGTTTGAAAAACTGAATTTATACAGGAAAATGTATGTATTCATCACCTTATTTCAGGGTTCATTTTTAAATCTTCATTATGTAAAAAGATCAAAAGAAAGTGCAATATATTTTTTTCTTAAATAAAAAAATATTAAATCATCATCATGTCCAGAAGAAACAAGTATGATCATTAAGGATTATTAGTAAGGATTTGCATTTGTCCTACAAACTAAATTTCCACTAAATAAAAAAATATCTTGCTGAATAGGCCTACTTTTGCTCAATACTTTTTGTTTTAAGTGTAAACTAGCTAGCAGAAGAGGTATTGTAGAACTGTACTGCATCATGTAAAGATCTAGCTCTTGATATTGATCCAAATTTCACGATTCAATCCAGATTTACAAGCTCTTGTTTTGATTCACTTCCGATCTCCATTAGCTTTGCTTCGATATTGATTAATTTGGACATATTGCAGGTGCTTCAATTATTCTAAAGGAAAAAATGTCTCAACTAATGCTGTGAACAGTGTAACTTGGTAGCCTAGATTACTATCAAATTCATTAGATATTGTAGCGATCGGAGAAAATGATAGACTCACTTAACGGTTTCAATGCTCTTTATTAAAGGGTCACTTCACCCATTTGCATTAAGGTTTGTATTGTAACCCTGTCATATACTATAATGATGGTGGAATTTTGCTTGTTTTTTTTCTGAGATGGGAGAAAAAAGGATTTAAGTGTTTTACTTCCGTCCTATCGTGAAGTAAATATCGTCATTTTGCGTCACGATAGGACGGAAGATAAATTTCATTGCATATTAAAGGGTCACTTCACCCATTTGCATTAAGGTTTGTATTGTTAGAAACCCTGTCATATATTATAATGATGGTGGAATTTTGCTTGTTTTTTTTCTGAGATGGGAGAAAAAAGGATTTAAGTGTTTTACTTCCGTCCTATCGTGACGTAAATATCGTCATTTTGCGTCACGATAGGACGGAAGATAAATTTCATTGCATATTAAGAAAACTACAGCCTTTAGCTCATTATTATTCAAGGGCGTGGGACCCACTCACCCCACCGGCCTATTACAGATCAGTGGGTGGGACTAAACCTGAAGAAACTAAACTATTAATCCGCCATCTTGCTTGGAAGACAGCAAGCTAAGCTAACAAGCGCTCAAGCAGTTAGATTTACCATAATGCCTGAATTTACGACACACGATATGGAAGACGAGGATTTTGAAAATCTTTTGCTCGAAACTGATGTTCGTGGCTATTTATACGAGCCACAATATAGCGAAGAGCAGCTGAGGCTGATGGAGGAACAAGAGGCGGCGGCGTCGCAGGAGACCAGCCCGGCGCAGACGAGAAGCCCGGGCTTGCTCGCGCTGTAGCGAATTGGTGGTGCTCGTGCTGTAACTGTGCGCCTATGGACACCGAGCTAGAGTCTGTCTGCTGCAAAGAATCTCTAAAATGCCAATTCCTTCTACACTGTAAAAACGAACAAGTTCATTCAACTTAAAATAATTTGTAACCTGGCTGCCTTAAAATGTTGTGTTAAGTAAGCTAAAAAACTTCAGTTGTTTGTACATATATTGGAGTTCTTTAAACCTAGAATTATTTGTTGGGGTAACAAAGGTGAAGCTGACAAAATAGTCTGATCAACTTTAATTAAAGTTTAATGAATTAGTTTTTTAGTTACTCCAACAAGACATTAAAAGTTGTGTAAACCTAAATCCCAGTTAAGACAACATAAAATTAGTGACACCAACAAACTTGTCTGCTATCTTGAGTTGTTTAAACTAAGCATCTTGTTGAGTCAATTTATAATTATTAGTTGTGCAAACAATATAAAAATTGGCTAAACTATTAATTTAGTTGAATTAACTTATTTTTTTAAGGCAGCCAGGTTACTTTTTCAAGAATAGTTCATTTTAGTTGGAATGTTAAGTTCATTCAACAGACTGAACTACGCAATTTGCCCACACAACTTAAGTTTCTGTTTTCTAAAGTACTACATTAGAAAACAGTTTTATTATAAAGTGTTTTAATTATTCTTATTTGTTTTGATTATTTTAATTTCTTCTATGTAAAGCACTTTGAATTACCATCGTGTATGAAATGTGCTATATAAATAAACTTGCCTTGCTTTACATAAAAATGATTCATTGGCATAGAAGAACATGCAGAATGTTATTTTATTTTATTTCAAAGTAGACAAAATCCTTCTTTGTATTAATGTACTGCATGTTAAAACACCTTACCATTAAAACACATAGCTAAACGTTGACATTTCATATTAACCTTTCTGTTAACATGGACATTTATCTAAAAAAAAAATGTATGCAAACTCTGCTACATAAAACTGTAAATATAGAATTAAAATCTTACAGCCTTGAAGTTGTGAAATAAAAAAAAAAGCTTATACTGGCTTAAAAGTGCTGTAGTTAATTGCAAGCTGAAAATGGGCATTTCATAACATGTTACATGAACATTTATCTAAAAAAAATAATGCAAACGAGCTCTAGTACACAAAAGTAAATATAGAAAAATATAAATATAAAAATCTGCCTTGAACTTGGGAAATATAAAACCATACTGTCTTAAAAGTGCTGTAGTTAAATTGCACAAACATTTTGGTAGCAGGTTATCTCTGAGCAGATTAACTGAACACAATATCATTCTACTAACATTTTTAGAACCTCTGCATTAAACTTTCGTCTGTAACTTATACAGGCCTATCCCATATAATACTTATATGGAAAGGGTGGTGTGATGCAGTCTTTAGTGAACACTGCTGCTATTAACTTGGCCAACTTGCCACTACACTTTGCCTTGAAGCAACTTGTTGCGGAGTCCATGAACTTTCACAGAACAATTGCCACTGCCGATGCCCATGAAAACTTTTTGTACCATCTCGAATGTGTACTTCAGTCCCTTGGGATAGTCTATGTCAAGACAGTAAAGAGGACCCATAAGTGAGGAAAAGGCATTTGCAACATCTCCTAGCTCACGTATGATGATGTTCTCTTCCAGCACAGCTGCAATATCGACTATCTCCTTTGCCAGTAGTGCTTGCCTGCTTCTGCCTTCCTTAGTAACAAAGAGAAGGCCAACGTCAACTTCTTTTGTAGCCTCTTTTTCGGGAACTGGTAATCTAAAGAACATAATGAAGTATTTAGTAACTAAGCATGTACTGTTACAATATATTTGAAAGGGTTACTTCACTCAAAAAATAAAATTCAGTCATTAATTCCTCACCCTCATTTCATTCCAAACCCCTAAGACCTTCGTCATCTTTGGAACACAAATTAAGATACTATGCATAACGACGCAACGTTATTGCCACTTTCAAGGCCCAGAAAGGCAGTGAAGACGACGTTAAAATAGTCCATGTGACTCCAGTGGTTCAACCTTACAGGGATAGTTCACTTTGAAATTAATTTTTGGTATGTTTTAGCTTACCTCAAGGGCATTCAAGATGTAGGTGTCTTTGTTTCCGCAGAAGTTTCAATTTTGATATTTTTAGGTCAAAGCGTTCTTGTCTGTCAGTCATATAATGCAGGTCTATGGTCACCACCTCAAAGAGCATGCACAGAGAAGTCCAAATTAAACATGATTTAATGACTCGTAAATGTAAGTACACATTGATGGCCTAAGACACGAAACGAGTGGTTTGTGTGAGAAAACGAACAGTATTTATATCGTTTTTACCTCTTGTAACCACAGCACGTCCAAGTGATCTGAGGGCGCGGGCGCTTCGGTCTGCGCAAGCGCCGAAAGTGATCTAAAAAAATTCAACGTTGTCTGTTGATATATCGAAATCGTCTTCCATTGCGATTTCATGTATATCTAAATAGGTTTATGGTGCGTTCACGTGCTATGGAAAATATGATATTTTCCACTTGTGAACTGGTATTTACCAGTGTGTTGCGTTCAAGTGCTTTTGTTGTCGTAATGTGGTAAAAAGATGGAGATCCAGACCTGTTATTTAGCTAAAACTATTTTAGATTGCTTAAGTCATTGCTACAGCAAGAAAATTATTTATCAAAACTCAAACGGTAAATAATGCTGTATATTTTCTAGATCATGAATAGTACATATTTTTACCATTCACGACTCTCGCACTCGCGTTGCTCTCCGCCACAAAAGGTCAAAGGTTATTATCCACAAAAGGTTATTATCTCATCTCGGCAACTCGTGAATCAAAATATTCTACGAGTTGCCCAGTGGAAAATACCACATGAGGGGGTGTTCATGTGTATTTTCCACGTCGGCTTTTGGTATTTACCATAATTACCATAGCACGTGAACGCACCATTAGATCTTCACAGTGAAAGGTAACACTTCCGAAATCTCTGTGTAAACAATGAGTGACGTACACGCGCGAGAGATCACTTCCAGACCGAAGCGCCCGCGCCCTCAGATCACTTGGACGTGGCTGTGTTTACAAGAGGTAAAAACGATATAAATACTGTTCGTTTTCTCACACAAACAGCTCGTTACGTGTCTTAGGCCATCAATGTGTACTTACATTTACGAGTCATTAAATCATGTTTAATTTGGACTTCTCTGTGCATGCTCTTTGAGGTGGTGACCATAGACCTGCATTATATGACTGACAGACAAGATATATCCTAAAAATATCTGAAAAATTTTACCTAAAAATATCAAAATTGAAACTACTGTGGAAACAAAGACACCTACATCTTGAATGCCCTTGAGGTAAGCTAAAACATACCAAAAATGAATTTCAAAGTTAACTATCCCTTTAATGTTATGAAGCATCATGAGAATTTTTATGATCAATATATATTATATGGTGTAAATACACTGAAAAATATATGAAAAAACACGTGAAAATATTGAATAATACATAAGAAATTGCGGCTTTTCATATATTAAAAAATGTATTTACAATATATTTACACTGTAAAATGTAATTAGTTGAGTGTACTTAGATAACGTGGAAACCGATTGCCTTAAATGTTACAATATATTAACGCAATATATTATTTC